GCCCCCCGGACTTGCACAGCAGTTTGCGATCCCCTTTCTTCCAGGCAGTGATTTGGAGTGGCCTGTTGGGGAGGGGCATCACTGTTCCTGTGAAAACAAAGGAGCAACAACAACAGTGGGGCCAGTGGGACATTTCTGAAAACTGTTTTTTCTCAAGTACTCCATGTTTTAGGTACTGTTCATGCCACTAAGGGTGGCACTGTTACCAAACAAGTTAATGTTTATTTTAAAAGGAGCCTGTGCAGCAGTGTGGCTCAGGAAATTGCTTTAAGGAGATTTAATCCATGAAATGGATAATGGATGACAGGTGAGAGGAATGATGGGTTTGTCTTTGCAAACAAGCTGTAGGTCTGCTGATAAAATGAAACTAACACTAAGAGATAACAGAAACAGTGGGATGAATTCCACTGAAAGATGAAAGAGACACTGGGGAAACACCATAAAATTCCACAAGGGGTAAGAATTAAGAAGGGGGTTATGCATTGTGGGGGTGGGTATCCTAGGTATTAGGTGTTCTGGGAAGTCTGTACCTCTCAAGTACCTCAGCCTATGGGGAAAGGGAGAAGGGACATACAGCCAGGAATTAGGATAAAAGCGAGGCTGCAGCCTCCAAAAATTTGAGAGACCCCAGGGGAATGTCCCATGGCCTCTCCCTTTATTTGAATAAAGTAAAAGAACTCCTCTGTCTCCTTTTTGGACCTAAACCTCTGGTGTTTGTGGATTAATTTTACTGATACAGGCAAGTGATGGGTGATGCCCATGTGTTAAGAAAAACAAATTACAAATTTAGGGACTGATGTGCCTCAGTGCTCTTAAATCAGGGAGAGAAATTTGTTGTTGAGACCTGGACACAAAGAATGCAGAATTTATAAACCACAAAGACACTTACAGAAACTGGAGATGAAGGAGAAACTAACAGACAATTACTGAAATTTTCTCTGAAAGGAATTGGCCAGGAGACAAGACTCCTGTTTGATGCTTTTATTAGGATTCACTTCTTGGGGTGGGGAGGCCCAAGGGGTTGCTTGCACCACAGCCATTCCCACACTGGCAGCTCCAAGGAGAAAGCACAATTCAGCTTTGCAGCACACACTGCAGATCTGGGGCTTCCATCCTCATGAGAGTATCCAGGAGTCCTGTCATTCTGTTTCGCTGTCTAGGGCTGTCAGTCCTTTCCAGTCCTCTTTAGGTCATGGTGATGCAGGAAGATGGTTTCTAAGCAGGCTTAGGTGATGCAGGGAGATGATCTTTCATCATATCTTGCTAGAATATCTTTCCTTGTCCTTTTATTCCTTTGTTAGCTCATTGTTTTGGTGTCTTGCATGCCTTAGTTTGCATATTACTCTGTTGCACAGCTTCCTGGGAATTTCTTTGTTCTAGTGTGGCACAGGGACCCTGGAGTTGCCTCCTTCTGTGGCATACCTTTCTAATGGGTTGCTTTTGTTAGTTTGATTTAGCCCCCATGGGAGCAGCTCTGTTACAAAGTAGCAGGGAAGTAAGGGGGAAAGGGTACAGGAATGTCTCTTAAGAACCTTTAAAACACTTCAGAAACTGGTAAGTAATTAACATTACTAATAACCATCGGAGTAAACAAGGGGTACAAGGTTTACAAATGGGATAAGAACATTAACTGTACATAACTAAACACAGTATTTTAACCGGGGTGGATTTCTTGAGAGATTTTATTCATGACACTCTCTATCTGGGAAAAAGAAATAAAAAATAAGAAGGCTAAAAATGTGGATTAATTAGCATTAGAAGCAAAAATAACAATAGGTGATAGGATTCTAATTAATGAAGAGAACTATGTAGCTTGTAAGCCAATGAACATTAATTTCTTTGTTTGCTCAAATGTATAAACAGTTAAAGGTTTTGATAACTGGAATGATCTGTGGAGCTATCCCCATGTACCCTAACACTGAAAAAAGTAATGTTGACTTTCTACTCTAACGAACTGGTTAAAGAGTTTATTTCCCAGCTTTTGGTGGCAGTTTCTGGTACCCTTGATGGAACAAAGAGGTCCCAGCTCAGTGGACCAGAGGAATCGTCAGCACTCCAGTGCACACCAAAATATTTTCAGGGAGACCTTCCCATTTCCTGGTTTGGTGAGTAGGCCACTCTGCCCTTTCTGGGAAAAAGAATGCAACATTTCTTAAGGTACTATATTTGAAGGTATTTTTCCTGCCCATAAGTTGCACTAATAGAAAGTTTGGAGTGAGGCTCAGAGGTTTTTCAAACGTTCACCAGCTTGGGTTTTCAGAAAGGTTGTAAAAAGTTGTAAAATATTGTAAGAGGTTATAGAAAGCTTGTAGAAGGTTTTAAAGGTGTTAAAAGGTTTTTTTGTTTGTTTGTTTGTTTTTTTCTAAGATGGTATATATGGGAGTGGGGCTACCTTCATAGCTCCCAAGAGAAGGGAACCCAAAGGGTTTCTCTTTAGGTCGTGTCCTAAGGAATAGGAAAAGGTTGAGGGTTTGGGAGGGGTGACCCCTGACATGAAAACAACTTGTTGAATATTGTAATCATTGATGGCCAATATATAAACTTAATAGTTGTGAAAAGTGACCAGTTAATGGGACTGCAAATTACAATACCACTTTGCAATTAATGCTGTTTTGTAGAAAGAATGCAACGGACCACCCACCATATGCTGATTTTTATTTTTTTTTTTATTTGTGAAATAATCTGATTAGTGGAAGGGGTGTATGCATGATCCTAGAGATCCGAGGGTGTTAGCATTAGAAGAGAAGGGATGGGAAACCACTCAAAAGGGGCTGCTCTGGCTGCAGTCTAGGCTGAATCCCCAGTGTTAAGTGTGTGGCTGCAGGCTCCTGTGGCACAATGAGCTGCGTGAGTTTGTCCTGAAGCCAAGGGACTGGTGCAGCTCAGCACTGGGGCTGCTTGGGGAATGGCCTTTGGAAAGGCTTTACCTCAGAACTGGAATTGTGTTTTAGGATATTTACTGTTTCACAAGGACAAAGGAGTTTGGTCCAGGAAGGAAAAGAGCCTGTCTATCCAATCCTGAGCCTCTTTCTAAGAGAAAGCTGAGCCTGACTACAGGAAGGGCTTTCAGGAATTGAAAGATGCTTTAGTGACTGCTCCTGCACTGGGACTATTGGGCTTTCTGGGCAAAATTGCTTCCTTGTGGAGCAGAGGGATGATCATGTGTTAAATGCCAGGAAAGCTCAGGGTTTGCAGGCAGGATGAGGTGGATTTTCGTCCTAGAAAGCACTGTGAAGACTTCCAGGGAGTTTCTGGGCTTGACAGTACTTGACACATGTTCAGTGGACTCAAATGTCTCTGCTCACTTCAGGCTTTTACTGTGGAGTAAATAAGAGCCTTCCAGGGAATGTTCTGCAGTTTGGTGAAGCCAGGCCTGAACAGCACTTCACAGTGCAGTTGATAAAATAGGTCACTCTAACAGGTGTTCCACAGACAGTTATAATTACTATTTCAGTGCCAGGCTGGATGGGGCTCTGAGCAACCTGGTCGAGCAGAAGCTGTCCCTGCTATGGCAGGGAGGATGGAACTCGATGATCTTTAGGGTCCCCTCCAACCCAAACAATTCTATGATTCTAAGTTTGAAGAAAGGTGTAATAGCAGAAGGGACATAAACTTACATGTCACTTATTTACTTATTCCATTCCGGTTTATCAATTGCTAATGATAGAATTAAAAATTACTAGGCAAGGAAGAAGTTTGTGACCTCAAAATCAAGATCCTCAATAAATTCCTTTAGATACAAAATTCCTGTGACTGGTCAAGGTCTGGGGCATCATCAAAGATGTTTTGATTGTTCAATTTAGCTTTGTTCTACCCCGGAAGGGATATTTTATCTATCCCTGAAGGCTATTTTATCAACCTTCTCTAAAATTTTCTATGGTTGTAATCTCAACAGCAGTTAGGTTCCTAAACATGTTTGGGACCTAGTCCATGTTAGACCTTGTTCAACACTATCCTTGTTCTAATCTACAAAATAACTGTATTTTCTGTATTTCACAGCAAAGAAGACCAGCATATTCACTAAAGTGGGAATTGCAGGAAGGGCCATGCAGGCATTTCAAAAAGATGTGACCTGTGCCTTTATATCAACATGAACATATGCAGGCAATTTATTAATGGCTGAATGAATCATCATGTGCTATTTAATGTTGTCTGCTTTAATGTTTTCAGGTGCTGAATCCAGGGTAGAGACAACACTGATGCAGTTCAACACTCACCTTCTCCTGACTGCCTAGTCCAAGGTTTTACAGATGGGCCATACCTATGTTAATCCAGCTTTATTAATATTTCTGGATGGTTCAACATATTTGTACTGACCAGGAGAGCCCCACAAATTATTCAGTCTGAGAAATGGCTTACATGTTTTAAATGGTCCTACTCCAATTGATCTGTTTTTGACAGCAAAATTAGGAATGAATAAATTATACTATAGGAATGCATTGAAAATATGATTTAGCTTTATTTCAGATGTAGTGTTCTTGCTCCTCTCCTTGTTTGATCTGTTGGTACATATCTAATATTTTTCAATTCATATATAAGAACTTGTGACTACCGTTTCAGAATTGCTATATATCCCATTCAGAACCAGACTCTATTCTGTTCATTCTATGTATTCTGCAGGGCATTAAGGGCACAATGTGTACATACAGACTGTATGTATGCTGCCTTTCCTTTACATGCAGATTGTTTCCATTTATTTTTTTTTAAATTTGCTATAAATGGTTGGCAATTTCCAGAGGTTTGATGTTAATATTGGGTTGTAATAGACTTTTGTCGCATTATGCTAGGAAAGGCGAGGCAGTACGACACAACTCTCTTGTGAGTTGAACAGGAGAGCAAGGTTTATTACCTCAGATCTTCTTTTATAGATCGATATGTGAAAGTACAGAAAGGTAAAACTTATCGGTTAGTGAACTAACACATCACCATCATTGGTCAGTGGGGTACACCACCCCTTGACCTTCTCTTGCAAGGAAAGAAGAAACTGACAAACAACACCTGCAACGCTGTCTTCTGTCTCTGACGATTGTTTTGATTCCTCCTTATGATTTCCCAGGCTGCTTTCTCAGGTGAGTCTGAGAAAGTTATGCAGCCTGCTTTTCCACAGGCACTGTGCTCCCTGCTTGTTGCTTGCATTTAGCATCCATAGACCTTTGCAAATAGCTTCTTTTTTTTTTTTTTTCCTTTCTATTTTGAAGACCACTCTGCCATCCTGAGGAAACTGAGGCTAAAGGCAAGAGGAATGAGACTGCATCTGCAGCCACCCTGCAGATCACTAGCCTACAAAAAGGTTCAGCACCTTGATCCTGCTGCCTGCTTATTTGTGCTGTGTGATTCTAGTCTTGTGTGCGTGTAATGAATGGACTTGGAGAATGCAAATTATCTGAAGGAGGTGTCAAAAGGAGCCATTAGACTATGCTAGAGCTGAAAATACTTGGAATTTTAGTTGCTTTTCCCCTCTCTTTCTCAACTGACTACAGAAATGAATCTGAAATTCTTAAATTTGCCCACCTGAATTAGTCTCTGCATGTAACTATCCTGTATTGTTTGCTGTCAAGTAAAACCAGATGTCAGTGTCCTGGGAGGGGCGGCTGGGCATCCTTACCCTCGGCAGGTGCCGGCGGTTTTTCCTCTGGCACTGGATCCAGGTCTGGCACCTTCTGCCCCACCTTGGCGACTGTGAACCTGCTCATGTGTAAAGCTTCTTCATACACTGGAGGGGTGTCTGATGTGGAGAGTGGAGGTGTTCCCTGGGCAGCATTGTGGGAGTGTGCCACAGCTAATATTCTCCTGGCTGCAGGCCCAAACACTGAGTGGAGAGCTGGAAGAGAAGAGACAAAAGCTGTTTGCCTCATCCTTTAGAGGATATCCACAGGGTTTTCCCTCCCCACAGCCAGGTTGATTTCCTTTTCCTGCTCCTTCAGTCTTCCCTAAAAGGCATATGTATGTGAGATCCCACATACACACTAGCAGCATCCCACAGTTCCTCTTTCCTGAAATGCCACTGAAACATGTAGCTACATTTATTCCACCCAAACTTGTCTCACAGCTGAGCACCTTAGTTTGTAGCATGTACAGAGGTCGTTTTTCCTCCATCCTGCCATGAGCTTCCCTCTGTCAGCCTTGGGGTGTCACTAGGTGGGCATTACAGAGTGCAGCCCCTTCACTTCACAGGGTGTTGAGGTCCCCAGGATCTGGCAAGGCCAACTCACAAGTGATGGTGCTCTGCAAGGTGCTGTCATGGTCAAATGCGATGACGGTGACCTCATAGGGCTGAGGGCCAGATTCGTCCCCTGTCTGATGGCACTGGAAGCAGCACCTCATGCAGACAGAGACCAGGCCACACAGGAGCAGGAGCCCCCCAATCACCAGCACCAGCCTGCAATGGGAGGGGATGCAGAATTAGGACAGAAAAATTTTGTTTACCGGACACCTCTTAATGTCTCTGACTGCTTACAGCATGGTTAACCTCAAAGCTACACAAAGTCACCTGGGGCTTTGTCCAGCTCAGTGTGGACAGTATCTGGGTATGCAGATTGGTCATCCCTCCAGGCATCTTTTCAGGTGCTGCACCATCCTCAAGGTGGTTTTCTCCTGTCTAATCAGAATTTTCCTGTCTGCAGTTTTGTCAGCCACCTTATGTGCTTCTACCTGAGCACCTCTGAGAAGTCTCTGCCTTTATCTTCTCTCAAGATCCCCCTTAAGTAGTGGAAAACTGCAATTACTTTGTTACCTTAGCTTCCTCCAGGCTGAAGAAACCTCCTTCTTTTTATTGGCTCTCCAGGGGACTGGCTTCAGTTTTCCAACATCTATTTTGTACTAGGGGACCAAAACTAAGTATTCTAGACACCTTGTTATGACTGACAAGCAGAGAGGAAAAATTGGATCGTGCCATCTTCTGGCATACATTATTAATTCAGTCTTCTAGATTTTCAACAACTACCATCATAATAATAATCATCCTGGTATGAATGACTAAGAAATCAGACAGAACTTTAAAAATCAGTCTTTTAAAAGGCATATTGTACCATGAATACTTTATTAATAGTGTTCATATGACTAAACATGTAGAATAAAAAAGGAGGCTGGTGGGTCAACTTTTGTTAAAGACAGTGAGATATCTAAGTGGTTGTCTTGCTCTTGTAGAGCTTTAGAGAGTTCCAGGGAATATGAGGGGGTGGCATCACTCTTGAGCAGGTCACATTTAATCACCCTTTCCTACTGGAATTGTCTTGGGATGCAGATATTTAGTAAACATGTTATCGTACCAGATATACCACAGACGGTCCCATGCTGTACCTGAACACCTGAAGAGCGAAGGGTACAAGAAATAGTTATCAACCGAGCACCAAATAAATGTGAAGATCCCTATGGTAGTCTCCTCCATCTCACCTCATGCTCCTCACTTACTGCCCAGATTCCAGATGGCACAATGATGAGAAACTCAATGTGCTTTGCAGAGGACACAGTTGTCCAACCTCATCAATATCCCTGTTAGGTGAATTTCCCTTCTGTTTGTTTATATATTGATTGTTTTCCTGATATTTATCCTTTCCCAATTCCCTTTGCAAACCTTATAAATCTGCATTCATGTTTGCTTTTTTTCTTTTGTATCAATACATAATTTTGGTCATTTTTACAAATTACATTAATGATAGTAATATCCACCAAAGCAGTATATTTCAAAACATTTTTTCAAGGAAAGTTTGATTCTAAATTCATAATACCAATCAATTGAAATTACACCAGAAAGCTCTTAACTATTGCAGTAATGCAAACAGGCAGCAGGAGCAGTACCACACAATCAGTATGTTAATCAATAAGAATAGTAGTTGATACAGTTCATATTCAAAGTAATGGTGATTTTACATGAATTTTTAGTACAGCTAAATAAGATTTTCTGGAAAATGTCAACCATCAGGTCATAACACTCATGTCCAGTATTGCCTTTGTTGTTCACTGTTTTCTCAAAAGAAGAGCAAGATTGACAAATACTTAACAGTTCAGTGTTGAGGCAGCCTTCCTCACCTCTCACTTGGGGGAACTAAAAGGAGAAAAGCAGCAAAAACACAGCTAGAGTGAATGAAATCTTTGTAATGTGCATACTGCATACCTTTTATATTATGAGTCTGGATTTCCTATGGTAAAGACATACTGTTACCTATTTTCCATTGTTTCTATCATATATTCTGCTGTAGATTTGAAGTTACTCTTGCCAACAGCATTGTTTCATATATTAACATTATATATATTTATATATATTAATATATATTAGTCCTCAAAATCCTTTTAGTACTGTTCTTAACTTCATCATCACTACAACTTTCCATTTCTCCACTACAAACCATGTCATTCTCCACTACAAACCTGAAGATCCTTCTCCATGCTCAAATATTAAGAAACTATAAATACTCTGCTTCATGTTATACCCACCCTGGTTTGAAATCTGCTCTGTCCCTCCAGCACTCCCCTACCCTTCTCATTCTTTTTCCTTGGGTACCCTGATGTCTGTCCCTGGAATAGCAGCAAATATCTTCTTGGTGTGTGCCTTTTAAATATCCAGGAAATTATTTTTGCTAATGGCCCTCCATCTTTCCAAGGTGACTCCACATCTGAGCAGAGATCCTGAGGAATGTCAGAGATGACTTACCCATAAGAAACTCCCCACAACAAAGCAGATCATGATTGAGTTATGCATCCCTGTAAGGTGACTGTGTGGCCTCTTGGTGTCTCAAGTTGCCCAGAGTCTTCTTGTCCTTTCTACTTTCAGTTCATCCTCATCAGTCCAGTGGAACTCACCAGTTCCAAGTGGAACTGGACAGAAGAAGGAGCGGCTTCCGTGCTGTGTGTTGAATCCAATCTCTTTCTCCTACTCCTTTTTGCCCTTCAGGTTTTTGCTTTCCCTCTTTTCCTTTTTGTCACTGGCAACTCCTGATTGTTTCTGCCTGTCTCTTTTTGTTATTCTCTTGGCCTGGTTCTCTTCCTCTTTTGAAGGGATTTATAAAACCTCCCAGTCTGATCAGGAGAAGTAGCCACAGGTTCTTACTCTAGATGTTTAACTAGTTCAGTGAAGGGCATCATGAGATCTCTGCAGGCCTGACCCTTCCCTTGAATGAGCAAAAAGGGTCTCTGAGTTTGTTCATTCCCTATTATTTTTGTCCCCGCCCCTACCCTGAGGGGAGTGGGTTGAAGGTCATGTTACTGACCTGTATAAATAGAGTTCAGATTACTCTCCATCCTCCAGTACCTTTTCTGCATCTGTATTCACATTGTCCTACCTCTGACAATTCAATCTACTGACTTAGAAGAGTTTTCCATATAATAACCATATCCAGCATTCTATCTATCTATCTATCTATCTATCTATCTATCTATCTATCTGTCTGTCTGTTGACATAGATATGCAGTTATATGTGTATGTGTGTATGCAGGCATATATGTGTGTATATATGCAACATACCTGTATGCATATAAATATATATATATGTGTGTGTATATATATATGCGCATTTTTTTTTTTCTCATATGCAGCATGTCTTGTACCTTGCATTTTAAGGCTCAGCCATCATCCCTCTTACCTGATCATGTCCTGCTATATCACTCCTGCAGCTGAGAGTCTGTTCATTGACAGGTCCTACATGGCCAGCCAAGTCCCTCTAAATCCCTTGCAGCAAAGGGATGTTGATTCTCCTGTCCTGGATACTATTAGTCCTACAGCTGGTAATATTCACAGGCTCCATTCAATGACCCATTAATTTTCTCTGTCTTGTAGAATTGCTTAAAATTTCTGTTAGTGCTCATGGCTATCCTGAGTGTTATTACAGTCATGCAATTGAGTTCTCCTAATCTTTCTCTTTTGAATAGCTGAGACAGAAAAAAATGCTCTGCAGTAATATGTAACTGTGTTTGGAAACCACCTGGGACTGGTGCATTAATGTTTGTTAAAGGCAGGATAGCAGCTAGTGAGACTTGTTGCCCTTTGTTGCAATCACAGCCCTTTCACATTAAACTGGTGAATCATTAGCCCTGGTGGAGCATTTTAGAGTTGCAGAGCAGAACCAATGGATTCATGAAAATAATGTATTCTCTCAAGGCAGGCTAAAACCCATTTGCCATTCTGTAATTATAAAAGTAGTGCTGCAGTATAAACATGTCTTTGCAGTAGCCCATCCATCCATCCATCCATCCATCCATCCATCCATCCATCCATCCATCCATCCCTCCATCCATGTCTGCTGGAAGGAGGTTTCTGAGTCCTGATGGATAAATAAGAAAGAATGAAAGAAAGAAAGGAAGATGACCTATTGACATTGTATTTACATAGGAATTGACTAACATTTTTTTTGTCTCCATCTTCTAAATTCCTTGGTGTATTAGAAGTCTTAGAAGAAGAGACACAGCAAAACTGTAAAATAGCTTTTCTCATATGCACAGCTTTTGAAACTGGTAGGAATTTAAAGTGGAAAAGAAGTAAAAATTACTAATGTTTTTCCGGACTTTTTATTATCAGTGTGATAATTCAATAGATCATCACTTGATTTTAGCTGAATTTCTGTCATACAATGATCTCAAATTCAGGAATGATCCAACTGGAGAAATAGCAGATAAAGTGACAAAAAAAATCCTAAAGAAAAATTGCAGTGTGACATGAAACAGTGACCCCCTCCAAAGGGATAATTAATTAATTCTTAATGAAGCTTACTGATTACTCTTCTTCACTTTCTATGGCATTGCTATTAACATTGTGCTTTCACTGTTACCAAAAATAGGCAAAAACCCAAACTCTTTTAACACAAATATAACATTAAGAAGCAGGCACTCTTTATTTGGCTGGATGCATGAGGGGATAGCCTCTGGAATATTGTGCATGCTGAGTACAGAAAAAGCTCCTATTTAGAAGCTTTATTTTACATACATATTCATTGATTTTCCTGGAATAAACATACATTTGGTAATAATTTCCCCAGAATCATTAATATATTTTCCCTCATCTCTGCAGATGTGTTTTTCTGTCCTGGGTGGTCCCTGGTGGTTGGTGATCCCAAAGTCAAACCTGACTGCCTGATGAACTGATAAAAGTTGGCCCAACTGGGCTGGTTGCTCTCCAGTTCTTCCTACAGAATGGGCATTGTGCAGTTCCATAGGCCAGTGGTTTTTCAAGAATGATCATTGTATTAACCCATCAGGTGCAAACTATTCTTCATCTGGCAGCATTCTCCCCTTTAAGGCTTATGAAACTTGTCTTTAAATGCTCCAGAAAGTGGCCTTTCCCTGCTTACGGGATTGCTTTTTAAACAAACTGGACATTTCACTGTTACGTATTTTTCTATTTAAGTCCTTCCCACACTAAGTACAGAGTTTTGGAGACTAGATGTCAGGGACTCAATTCCCCTGTGGGATTTGTTGTGTTCTTTTCCCATTACTTTCTTCCTTAAAGGAAGTGGAACCGTAAGTTTGCTGTTTGTTACCCACCATCCCTCTTGATTCTTAGTGGCTTTTAATGTATTTTCTAAATATTGATCCTCACTGTCAGAACTAGCCTTAAATTATGTCAATTTATTTTTGTGTCACTTAAAAAAAAAAAAAAAAAAAAAAAAAAAAGGCTTGGATGCCTTTTTCAACTCCTCCTGGAGCTGTTTTGGCTGCCAGTTGGTTTCCCATTATAACATTACTTTGTCCAGATGTGCTTCATAATTCATCACTGCCACCTCCTTTGGTTTTTTTAACTTCCTTCAAAAGTCGTAAAGTATCTTCTCTGCATTGAGCAGATGATCCTTGAGCTTATAAAACAATTCTCCTTCCATATAGCTCCATGGGCATGAATCACAATAAATGCATATCTAGGATCATTCCAAATAGTCACTCTTTTGCCTACTGCTAAGTTCAATGCTTTTTAAAGGGCTACTATCTCTGCTTTTTGGGCTGATGCGTTAATTAGTAAAGACTGAGCTTCTAATACCTCAGTGGTAGTCACCACGGCATATCTTGCTATTTATTTCCATATTTCATGAAACTGCTGCCATCTGCAAATAATTATAAATCAGGATTCTCTACTGCCTCATTCTGCACATCTGTTCTGCTGGAATAGACCTGTCGCATGGTTTGGAGACAATCCTGTGTCAGGGCTTTCTCATCCACTACCTTTGGATCAAGGAAAATGGCTGGATTCATGATTGCTGTTTGACGCTGCTCCTCAGTCACACCGGAGCTCCAGGCTAGCTCCGTGACGCCACTGCGGCACGGGCAGCGGCCAGGAGCGGGGAACCTCAGGGGAAATGCAATCCCACTGCGGAACCTACAGAGCTCCGACCCCTGCCGGGCTCTGCTAACTTAGGCGTCGTGGGTGACGATGAAAGGATGGAGGAGGCTCAGTCTGCTGTACTTCCCAGGAACAAGTTTATTAGGGTGAAGTGAATGGAGGTAAGGGCACAGGCTGGGAAGATGGAACAGGAGAAAGAGCCCCGAGCACCTCTGTGCATCGGGTTTTATTCAGGGGTGGGCACAATTCAGGGTCCAATCAGGGATCTCTGAGGGAGGAGTAAGGGGAGGAGTTCACAATATCGAGGGCCAATAGGGATACAATGAGAGCAGGGTAACAACATAGTAACCAATAACTTATCGAAGACGGAATGACATACACAGAAGGAACTGGAAGAAGAGGTGGGGTTTACAATGATGGACGCAGGAGATGGGGCAGGGTAAAGACAACTGACAGGGAACTTTCAGGAAAAAGGGGAGGGGTTAACACTATTGACAACCAGGGCTAAACCATTACACAACAACAGGGGGGAAACAAGAATGTACCAACAATTTTTAACATGTGCTTAACAAAATTAAATAAACAAACTGCAACAGCTGTTGTCTTTAATTCCACATCATTCTGTTCCAAGAGCACAACTTGGTATCTAAGCATCCTGCTGGGGGACAGCCAATGCCCCTCCTTTTGCTCTAGAATGGATGTAACATGTGAGGGACAAAAGCAGTGATGTGCTATCCAGCCCTGAGTTTCCAGGCTTCTTGGATCAGTAGAACAGTTGCAGCAATTGCATCCTCTGCTCATGTTGTCCAGCTGTTTGGAGAAATAGCCCACAGGTCTCCTCCAGGTCCCCAAGTCCTGGTCTCCTCACGTTATCTGAGCATCCAATTTTCCCCATAAATCTCTCCTCAACTAAGGGGACTGGGCATTAGGGCATATATAGAAACTAATGAGTAGTGCAGTTCTTTCCTAATCTAAATTTTATGGTCTTTAAAAATGACTGAGTTTCACTTTTCCTTGTAGCACCAGTTATATTTACCACATTGTCTACATTTACCATTTGTACCAGTTTACATTTTACAATTTGAAATTTGCAATTTACAATTTACCAGTTTACATTTACCACATTCTTATTAAGCTTTCTCTATGTGTATTCAATACAGAATAAGTTGCCCCTGTGGTTACCAAAAATTCCACTTCTTCTTTCCCCAGCCTCAGGGCTTCAACTGGGGTAGAATCCCCCGTTTCCCTTAAATCTTCATCTTCTCTGTAAGGCAGGGTCTTCTCTGTAAGTCCAGCTTCCCAGCCCGCGGGTACTCCCGCTTCCAACGTCCCTTTTCCTTATCAAGGGTCCTCTGGTTTTCCTCTAATCGTTGTCAGGGAAACGAGGGGAGCCTCCCGCTTCCCTTTCCTCCTGTTCCACCTCGCCTTCCTCTTTCTTCTGGACAGGGCGGTACCTTAGCACCCTCTAGAGTTCCAAGTAGGTTCTCATGTCTCTTGTTTTCCTTTCCAGCCTGTCACATTTCCTTTTCCCTATCCCTGTTGTAATATGCTTTCCAAGCTTCATCTAACAACTTCGCTGAGTCACACCACTCTGGTCCTTCAATTTCTGGAGTTTGTTTCCAATATCTGGGGCCAATTGCCCTATAAAGATAGTTTCTAACTATACAGCCTTCTCTAGATTCTCAGGATCCAGATTAGTGTATTTCCTGGCAGTCACTGTCAATCATTTGGTGAAAATTGCAGACCTGTTCTGCATTACCTCACACAGTTTTGACGAATTCATGGCTTTCAGTATAGCGTGCTTTACACCCAATAATACTCATCTCTGGTACCATGTTAAAAGATAT